TTTTCTTAAATCTATCTATACAAAGAGAGACAAATGTCTTTTTTATAGTTTCTGATTAGCTTAATACACATTCGTGCCAAATGAAAAAAAAATTATATCTAAATATACTTTGCCTATAATTTTTCACTTTGTCACTAAGTGCGAAAACAGGTAAAGACCCCTATTAGCTATTTTTGTCTTAGAAAATCAAAACATTTGCTTAAAAAGAAGGGTTTGAATATTTGTCACCACATTTTTTTCCTTTTAGCAAGTGGCTCTTCAAAACAAAGGACTTTTATAAGATATGAAAAAACAGGGTAAAATAATATAACTCGTTTGACACTCTTGTTATACAGTTTTTATAATTTTACGTATATTGAACAAAGGTAAAGATATTCGCCTAAAGTAGGGATTTTTGACCAAGAGTAAATTCACCCGGAGGAATAAAAATGTACATGGCACCTTCAGTGCGATGGGTCTTAGCAGGCAGCATGCGAATTTCCAACCGATAATGTTTGATGCGTTTTTGTTTTTTATATAAAACTAAGTTATCAACAACTATATATTTTTCTTTAATCAAGCTATTCTTTGCAATATATATAAAAAAAATATTGATTATGATAATCACTTTCGGTATGAATTAAGTATGTTTAATTCCTGTTATGACACGTCATGTACTATGTAAGGCAGTTTGGTGTGGTGTTAGCCATCATTAAATGTGGTTAATCACTTCCGGTTTGCGGTGTTGATTATGTCTACTTCCTCTTATGACACGTCATTTACGTAGGTAAGGTGTGCAGTTCAGTCCACCTTGCTTCAACTAACATGTATTGGAGGTGTATTGGTCCGCCATGTGTATTAGTCCTATGCATTACAGTTTGGGAAAGGTTGTGATAACGTAAAACTTACAAACGGATACTTTTAAGTAATAATTGAATGGGTTTCTGACCCGCAAAAAATATATCATCAATAATGATAAACGAATGTTTATTATATGATTATTGATGCATTGAAAAAAGGAAGAAAAATACATACAAGTGTATATATATGTATATATATGTATACATACATCCTGGACTGTAACCCCTCTCCCCCCCTCCTCACCCTTCTGAGGATGCCTGTGAGGGTCTTGGTGCTCTGTCGCCCTTGGGAAGTCCTGGGCGTCCTGCGTGTTTTGAGGGCGAGTGGAAGCTCGTCGCCAGGAAAAAAAAAAAAAAAAAAAAAAAAAAAAAAAAAAAAAAAAAAAAAAAAAAAAAAAAAAAAAAAAAAAAAAAAAAAAAAAAAAAAAAAAAAAAAAAAAAAAAAAAAAAAAAAAAAAAAAAAAAAAAAAAAAAAAAAAAAAAAAAAAAAAAAAAAAAAAAAAAAAAAAAAAAAAAAAAAAAAAAAAAAAAAAAAAAAAAAAAAAAAAAAAAAAAAAAAAAAAAAAAAAAAAAAAAAAAAAAAAAAAAAAAAAAAAAAAAAAAAAAAAAAAAAAAAAAAAAAAAAAAAAAAAAAAAAAAAAAAAAAAAAAAAAAAAAAAAAAAAAAAAAAAAAAAAAAAAAAAAAAAAAAAAAAAAAAAAAAAAAAAAAAAAAAAAAAAAAAAAAAAAAAAAAAAAAAAAAAAAAAAAAACTCCTTGTTTCCCTTAGTCTCTCCTACCTCCTTTTTGCTTTAGTCTCCCCCTCTTCTCCAACCTTTTCCCCTCCCCTTCTCCCTCTTTCTCCTCGTCACGTATCCTCCTGACACCTGTACCCTATTTACTCTACTCGTTATTCTTCGTCTCTCCTAAATACTCGCTCGTTCTCTTGCTCTCTTTTCTTCCTCGTTCATTTCTTTCGTTCCCTTTCCTTTCCTTTTCCCCTTTCCCTTCTCAATCTTGCGTCCCTCCTTACTTTCTACTATGCTGATCTAGTTGTCTCCTCTTCCCCGTTCCTTCGTTATGTATTCTTATCCTTCTCTCGTTTGTCTCATTCAATC